CTTAGAAAAGGGAGGATTTAAGGGATAGAAACACTAATCGCAAGCGCTCGATAAAGAAGCACAGTCATTAATCAATGCAAGACACACAAACGGTTCACGGGATCCTATGGAACAAAGCAGTCCGCTAAGCAAGTAAAGCAAATGACCAAATATGAAGCTCAACATAAAGAGAATGGTATGACAATGTACTAGAACGAAAACATGGGTGAAGGAACGAATCCGGGGTAGTTAGTATGTAATGACGCCCGGGAATGGCAAGCGTGGGACAGAGAGTATTCAAGGGAGATAAGGGTAGAGGCCGCACAAATGAGTGGGACCAGGAACGCTTAGAGGCGGTATGAGAACAATAACAACAAAGTACAAAGTAGGCCGTCGGACCGAATCGAGGCATGATGATGGGTAAATTTCAAAGGTCATCTGTGTAATGGGTTACATGGGTGTACAGTTGATCGAACCGAACCGGATCAAAATCTGTGGCGTGATTAATTTTTCCAATCAAGTCGATGCATCTGGCAAAACATTAAATCAGAGTTAGTATGTACGATGTGTCTGCGCAAACGGTTGGGTGATTAGACAATGATCTTTTAACAAATGATATGACCTTTTTTCTCTTTAAAACATACCTTATTTCTATAAATAAACAGTAGTATTTGCTCTTACCAATCCTCAGGATCTTTCATTGTTATCCTTTTTCGGGGATGGAGTCCATCCAGTTCTGAGAATCACAGTGTGACTTCTCGTTTTCAAATACTCAATACTATTTCGAATACCACAGGTTATCTGCCTTGCAATAGACCGAAAAGATATCTGTACTCCATTTTTATTCTCAGTCTTTTAAATCTGTTGCAACGTCTGCGAAATAACTACCATTTGTTATCAAAAACGAATACCTTCAAGACTATGCAAACAGCGATTTATCCTCGTAGTAACTGAATTGCCAAGCTTGGGTGACGGAAGACAGTTGATGGAAGGCAGTGGCGTACATTTTACTAAATAATTCATTGCAAATCACTGACTTAGTCATTTGCAATCGACGAACACTATTACTCGTGCACTATTCTATCCTCGGTTAAAGTTCTAGTATTGTGGCAGTAATTACCTTACTTCTGGGAAGAAATTGCTTGGAAAACTGGGGTAGCCTTAAACGCAGTGTATATCCGAAATTTGTATAAGTAAATTCACTTTCATCTGAAACCTGTGGATTTATTTAGAGTCCAGCTATATCAGACAACAATCGCCTCATGAGATCACGTTTTCGTCTCAAATGTATAGTTCGACGGAAGCCGCTACTTTTCCCGAAAACTGTCATGATAAACAAACTTATCAATTCGAGCTGACTAAACTGGAAAAAATTAGTGACATTATCAATCTCTATTGGATGATAAACTGAATATGAAAAACCGAAATTATTCATCTAGTAAACATACTCCACTCACCGCACAGAGAAACCGTTGATCCAAATAGCGCGCGCTTTGAAATTCGATTGACTTTCTTGTGCACTGAACAAATTCAACTAAAAGCAATCGTTAACTAGGATTTACTAAACAGTTTTGACAGCATATTTGGAAGCCAAAAGTAAAAAGTAGACATGAAATAAAATACCAAAGCATTATTAAATATCGACACTTATTTATTTTTTAATAGAAAAGACCTTATAAATTCAACATCAATTTTGGACTCAATTCTCCTTATCCCATGAAATATATGGACGCAAATAATTGTTCTGAACGATTTGATGTAAGCTAATGATACAAACACCGTATCAAGGCTATTAATAGCATTTTAAGTGAGTGTCTCCAAGGGGACACCCAATGAACTGCTGTGTCACCCATTTCTAATTGGGCAGTTACCGCAGTTAAACAGGGCCAAAGAAACACTTAGCAGTTGAAGCAAGACGATAATAATCGTAACAGATACTGGCTTGTCTCCAACCGGACCTGTTACGCCTGCTTGAGTTCGTAATTCCGATACGCGTACGAGTAAACCTAATTTCGTGATCTGATACGAACGAGCTTGATCAACAAGATAATGACCGATCCGGAACAGAAACGAACGATCTTCAACTGTCTCAACAAACGATCCCGATCGAATGAACCCAATACGAACGAGAAGTGAGCACACAAATTCAACAAATAGACCACGATAATTTATACGGTATCTATAAAAGTTCATAACCAAATAATACAAAAAATGTAAAACATACTTGGATGTATGCTCACCCAAGAAGAACGCAGGAATCAACAGAAACAGGGAGAAGGTTCAACCGAGCTGACAAAGCAATATGTCCGGTCCAACGTCAACAAATGTGAAATTGATACATTTAGACAACATGAAGTTACACAAGATAAGGAGTAGAAATTGTAAGAATTAAGCAGTAAAAAGGAAGAAAAAGAGAAATCCTTTCAATTCATCAACGTTGCATTGGCCACCGTTACAGGACTTATAGAGTTCGGATGGGAGAGGCTGTGTCCAACGTTGGTAGCGTTTCCAGTGGATTGCCTCAAGGCTCAATGCTAAGCCCGATGCTCTTTCTGCTGTTTATAAATGACTTGGCCCATGAACTAGCGGTTCCTGCATTCATCCTTGCCGACGACGTAAAACTAGTGAACCAGTAGACCAGTGGACTAGTAGATCGACTAGTAGCTGACATGGTAAAAATTGTCCGGTAGACACAGAATTAGGACTTGAAGCTGAATTCTAATAAGCGTCGTATTATAAACACCGTAGAGCGTCCAGATTTGTGTGTTGTCGACGAGTTTCCTTGGCTTGCAACACTTCGATAGGCATAGTGGTCACGCAGGATTTCAAACACAGCACCCAATGTGTGAAGGCAGAAAACAAAGCTAGGGGACAACTGTTTTTTCTATGAGCAACGATGAAGTGCAGAAAACCAAAGGTCTTTGTCCCTCTTCACAAAAGCATCTTCCGTCTGCATCTGGAATATTGTGTGTAGGCTTGGGCTCCGTCCTTTCGGAAGGACGTCGATACCTTAGAAGGGGTTCAACATCTAGCCACGAGAATGATAGCTGGGTAACGGGGGAAGAGCTATGAACAGCGACTCATAGATCTGTTCTCCCTCACACGGAAACGGATGAGAAGAGACCTAATCGGGACATTTAAGATCGTCAATGATATGTCAGGTCCTAGGTTTGACGACTTGTTCTCTGGACGCTCGATTGGCAAGAGGCACAATTCGTCCTGTGAGAACTGAACTGAGCTGAACTGGACTCGGAGCACTTGGTTTCCATATTAGGCTAATGGACATTTGGGTTCATTAGCACTCAAGCTTTTCCAACTTGATTGATGGACTCACAAATATTCTTAACGTCACACACAATACCGGCTTGCAAAATCCACATATGAAGCGTCACAGAGTCGAAACGTGTTCTGGTCGTTCAGATTGAGTTACCATGAAACAATAACTAAACGCAAACCCTGGAGCAATCTCCTTTTCATTCGTTAGTCAGACGTTTGCTTACAAATTACGGTCATTGACCATTTATTCTTGTGTTATATTTTATGCATCATCTTAAATTTGCCATTACTCTTACCGTCACTGATTGGGAGCTACACTGCCGGGCAATCGGCTAGCTTTACAGGTTGAGAGCTTACTCATGGCTAACTTATTTGCCACGAGTGTACAAGCCCTAGCCATAGGCATTAGGTCGCCATCAATCCCCGTGAACATTAATGCATGACCAGGCTAACTGCAGTCTCAGTCTGGAAAAGAGGTGGAGAACATCTTGCTTCATCGGCATCCAAAGGTTATTTAGCTAAGATCAAAATCACATTTGTAATCGCCACGGGTTACTATCAAAGACTGCATGTTGCGGTCACCGGTGGTGTGACTAGCCCTTTACAAAAAAGAAAAGAAAAGAAAACCCCATGTTCGCCAAAACCCAGCTCCATCGATTGATATGCTTGATCGGTTTCATATCACGATAAATTATTTGATTAAAATCGTCGACTTCTGACGAGCGCTTGTGCCCGAATATTTTACACCCCGACCAGTCGGGCATTTAACCGACTTCGGTGGATTCTAACTCAAACAGACCTATTCTCCTCCGATCTCCGGTACCATCGTCAGGCTTGGTGGTCTAACTATTTAACCCACACGAGACGGACATTGAAAAAATGATGTAATAGCAACTATTCCATCAGCGTCTACAAAACAAACGACGCAACGTGGTAGTCAAAAGCAGTCATTCGAATGTCAATTGGAAACATTCCGTTTCAAATTTATGTAGAAAACGACAAGAAATCGCTGCGCGATTGGTGGGCGGTGTGACGGATTGCAACAGCTTTTGTACACACTACTTTCTTAATTCCATTATCCTCCTTTTCTTATCTCTTCTTTCTCTATTATGAACTCAACATTTTACAGTTATTTCAAGCAGCCTCCTCATTACCCGCTTGGTATCTGTGTGGTCTCGCTCCATGATTTTCTCTATTCTTTGTGCTGGTGTAATTGGGACCTACGACTTTTTCGTAAGTCGCAAATATGTATTCATGTATGCCTGTAATAGAACGCAATTTCAACTGTCGTTCAACTGTTTTCCTACGTGCTGGAATTTGGTTAGTCGAAGTCGAGACATTGCGATTCATGTTGAACGTTGTTCGGATTGCCGTTACACAATTTGAATCAGAATCATTCTCTTCGTTAACTCCACTGCTGGGTACAGAACGCATTCGGACAACTGCTTACCATCCAGCATCTAACCGCCTAGTCGAACGGTCAACTAAAGGGTATCTTTCGGGTATCCGAGAACAATAATTGGTACGATAAGTTACATTTTTTTCTGTTAGGCATCAGAACATGTGTAAATTCAGATATTCAATGTACAGCTGCTGAACTTGTTTTTGGCACTGCAGTACGACTGCCTGGGAAATGTTTTACGTCAATGAGCATGGATTCCATTGAATGACAAGACTACGTGCAACATTTGTCTATCTTTATGCAATCGTTGTCTACAACAAAAACTCGAATGCGGCAACGAAAGATGTTCATCCCTAATGAACTCTTAACCCGTTTGAGGGAATTCATTGGAATTGATGCGGCACGTAAACCGTTACAACAGCCCTACGAAGAACCTTTTCCAGTTATGTTCCTTCATGAAACCTTCTTCAAGGTTGCTCGAAATGGTCGCGTCGATACGATTAACATAGAACGCATCAAAGCAACATATGCCGACGATGACCTTGTGCACACCAGTGGCAGATTCGATGTTATTCCTGCACGGCCGGTGATTGAGGAACCTACTTCAGAGTTGAGTTCGCAGATGGCAGCACCTGCTACGATTTCGAATGAGACAATTGTATCACGTTCAAATCAGCGATGTACAAACACCTTATCAAACCTGGACGAGATATCCATCTCACGTTCATGCCGAAAGATTGTATTGCCTTCTCGTCTGCGGGATTAAGCAAAACACGATCCACGGAAGTCTACAGCGTGAGCAATACCCATTACGACTTATATCACGAGATGCGCATCTTGATATTTGTTATTTATGCTCAATGGTTGTTTATGATTGACGCAGAAATTTTGAACGTTAAGACGCTACACGGATTTTCTCCGAAGATGGTTTGCTTCCAGGGATCAGGTAATGAGAAACGCACGTTGGTTGCCTCGAGGTGCAACGATAATCTTGGCACCCACTTGCACGATCGTGGCTCCTTTGGAGTTCAAGAGTTTGTTGAATACGATTTACGTTTCTACGATCGCATAGATGGACTGACCTCGCGGTACGTTAGCGCCCGGTTTGAATTTTCAAAGTGCTCTTGATCGAAAGTATTTTTGCTCAGCTAATTGTGAAATATCGATAGATATTTCAAACTATATATAGTAAAATATCCACTTTCATTATTCGGTTCGTTTTGTGACCTCAAAAGGGCCACAGTTTTAAAGCGTCATATAGTTAAGAGTGAAATATCAGTAGATATTTCATAGGCTTTTTCCCAGCCGTTGTATCGTACAGTCGACCCAACTGGTCGACCAGTTTTACTTTTTGGGAATTTTTGGTCCCGTTTTAACGCCGGCTTGAGCCATTTTTGGTTGAGTATTTTTCTCCAGGGTTTTTGCGACTTGAAGTGTTTTTCCTATATATTGTTTTTTTCCGTACGATACGGGATCTATATTCATAGCTACTAAAGCAACTATGGTACAGAACCCTGACACGTGTGGAGCCAGGGGTTGTGGTAGAGCGGTTAGTAATGGTATCCAGTGTAATAGATGCGGCTCGTGGTACCACGAAAAATGCTCTAAGATGTCGAAGCAGTGCTATGCGCTGCACCTTCAGCATGGAGAATTGAAGTGGATATGCGCACACTGCGAGGCTCTGATAGATGAATGTTCACGCATTCTGAAAGGAGCCTTGGTAGGGGCTGTGACCACCAGTTCACCACTAACCTCCAATACATGCGAGCCGAGACCAGCAGCGAAGCAGGTGGAGGGGGTGAAGCCTGGCGTTAAGCATACTGTAAAGGAAAGCAATGGAAAGGGGAAAATCATGAGCACAAAGGGAAAGAAACCATGCAAAGGGGCTACGGTTAAACCGTCGGCGTCGATAGAGGTGACTGCACGCGTAGAACGTTTGGAGAAAGATCTCCAAGAACTTCAACGCAGCACACAAGCGCTACTGGGTCGAACGAGAAACGTCTTGCTGCATAACTTTGCGGAGCCATTGATTCGCGATACTAAAGCGCGACGAGAGGCGGATCGCAGACACGTTCAAGATGTTTTTCGACTGGCGGGTATACCGGCCAATATGCCCTATGTTAAGTGCCACAGGGTGGGGCTGTGGAGGCAGAACCAGACAACCAGACCCAGGCCTATACTAGTAGTATTTTGCAGCACATACAGCCGGGACCTTCTGCTCTCTAGGGCTGTTGCAGTGGAGATGAACACCAGGGGGTGCATCAAAGTCACCCCTGATACAGTTCATCACGCCCAGCGGGGTGTCATGCCCACTGCTCCTGCCACAGGAATAATGCAACAAAGGAAGCCCAGAGTTATCCTGAGCAAACTTAATGCACCAATGGCGCATGGAGTGGGAGTGGGCGAGGCATGCCAACGCAGGGTGGTCCATCAAAGTCTATCAGCGGGGTCACCGTGGAGTAAGTCCACACCCATAAAAACGAAGCCAGATGGGCCAAAAAGCGACAGCAGGAAGGGGAAAAAGCCGAGGCAGTCC